ATCTTGTCCATTTGTTAAACTCAGTTTAACTTTCCTTGTCCTAGACTTTCAAGCAGATAGGAGAAGAGGTACCGAGTCTTGGCACCGACAGTATGTCTGCCTCACGGACTTCTGTGATGGTCACCTTTACATTAAGTCCCCACATGACATTTCCTTTGTGCATGTATACCACTCCTGTTGATTCCTCTTCTTACAAGACACTAGTTCTATTGGATCAGTGCCCCATATTTAAAACCTCATTTAAACTTATTTTCTACTTAAAAACATTATCTCTAAGTGCAGATCCTTGGGGATTAGAGCTTCAGTCTAAGAATGGGAGTGGTGCACAAATCCATCCATAGAAATAGGAATAAACCAACTGTGGAATAGGAAGATTACTTATACTGGTTATCAGCAATGAGCCTGACTTAATCACAAGGATCTTTTTAAAACAGGAAGGGAAGAAAAGCCACTGTCAGGGTGATGTGATGTGAGGACTCAGTCCATTATTACTTTCTAGCATTGAGAATGGAAGGGGCCAAAGGCCAAGGACTATAGGCAGCCTCTCAGATTTAGAAAAGGCAAAAAAAATGAGTCTTTCCCTTGAGCCTCCAGGAAGTAATGTGGTCCTGCCTCCTTAACATTAACCCAGTGAAACCCACATCAGATTCTGACAGAAAAAGTTAATATAATAATCCATGCTTTTTTAAGTGACTAAATTTCTCACTTTATTATAGGAGCAATAAGAACTAATACTGATAATAAGAGAATAAAGCAACTACATCTACAACTCCCATGTATCGTGCTACATATAGCCATCCACAAGCAACATTACCTTAACTTTTATATATATATATATATAAATTTTTTGAAATTTTCTAAAATTGAGATATAGTGATGAACAAAATACAATCCATAGTCCCTTGAATGTATACTCTTCATGGAAATAGAGACACATAAATTGGAATCAGATCATGCATTTATAACCTGACCTTAAGAGATCAGTGAAACCATTATGTAGGAAATTGTATCTTTATGAACTCCAAAAGAACAATTAAAGTGATTTTCATGAAGTCAGAGATAGAGATGAACCTGTGCAAAATCTGAGCAATAAAATAAAACATTAGAGAGAGAAAGTATCATGGGAGTTTTAGATTTTTGAGAGCATAAAGTTGGGGAGAGGAAGGAAAATAATGAAAAATTAATTCCTCACAAATAATTGTAGATTTTTTTCTCAGTGGTTTTAAATATCAATTACTTTACACTTTATTGAACCCTAAATTTTTAATGCACAGTGAACAATTTCTAAGACTGATCCAAACTGCATAATAAAACTATCTGCAAGAATTTAAATAGCATGAATGCTTTGTGTTTAAGCCAGACTACTAAGGTTTTAACCTGGGAACACTGTGTACTCTGACATCTAATAATGTACAACTTAATTTTCTTAGGCTGAATTCTGTTTGTTTATTGGCTTCCCAGCTTAATGTACCATTTTTATAATCAGTCACCTATTGAAAGAATCAGGAGGGAATTTGCACACATAAGCTGTTTGAAAGCAACCCCCAAAGGCTGCTTAATCAGCCTGCATGTTTGAGTGCCTATTATATACCTACCATTATGGTAGGCACTGCCATTACTACTTCATTTGAAACAACAATCTGATAGTCATTTATCAATTTTGAGTGTATCAATATTTTGTTAGGAGTTTCTGAACTAAAAGAAACTATTTAAAAATAATATAATGGTAAATATTTAGAAAAATACTTTTGCATATTTCATTCATAGAGTTTTAAAACCAAACTCTACTTTCTATCTCTAATGTTTTATTTTATTGCTCAGATTTTGCGAACTCTTGTTCCTTCTTATCCTGTCAACACTGAAATGTGTCTCTTAGGAGCAAAGTCCAACCAGAAGTAGAATAATTTGTTTCCTGAAAATACTAAATCTCTCCCACAAAATCATGTACTTTAAATATATATATATGTATATATATATATTGATGTATCAAAATTAGTTCATATTTGATCTTGTCATCTCTAATCATCTCTAATAATTATAACTTGAGACTGAATTTCTCAAATTGTTCTTTGAAACTTTCAGAATTATTTTGTTTTGTTTAAATTTCCAAACTAAGGAAAAGCAAATTTTAATTCTTTCAGTTTTTTTTTTTCCTTTGAAACTATTCATTGCTCATTTGGAGATAAACTAATTAAACTGAGCACTTAATCAAGTTAGGTTTAAAATATTATAAAGTAATGAAATTGATTTACTAGATGCTGAGCAATGTTTAAAAACATCTATACTAAGTGGTAACATCCCAAAATACATTAATTAGCAAATTTTTATGTAGTACCCATTATTTGACATGAAGTATTGTACAAGTTTAAAACACACCTATCAAAACAACAGTAATGACAATATCAACCATCACCACTATAACACATAACAATAATAATAAGCAAATGTCCTGACCCATGGAACCTGTAATAAATAAGTGATTGCAGGGAGAAGAGGAAGGCAGAAAAACACCAGAGACTAAATTTTTAAAATTAAGTATATAAGCAAGTGATTAATAAATAATTTTTAAAATAATTTGAGAAATATTAAAGAGAAGATTAGTGTAAAACGGTTTGGCTTGTTGGGAAATAGAGTTGAACTATTAGATAAGGTGTTCAAAATATTTTGATTATAACTAGGTCTTCCATGGTTAACTATTTTGAATGCCAATAATATTTGAATGTTTGTGATTTTGTGCACTTTACTAAAAATAAAAATCAACACCCGCCCCCCCCCAAAAAAAGTCACTAGTTTGACCAAGGGAAAAAATCTATTTTCTCTATCAGACGCCAGCTCAAACAAAAATCAGAGTAATAACATCTCTCAAACAACCCTTCTCTGTTCTAGGCAGTTTGTAATTTGAAAGACTACATTTTACTCTCTCTGCTTGAAGGCACTTTACATGTATAAGAGAACAATTGCAGAGATACTTGATTGAGCTAGGTGTTAAACATGATTACCTTTATTTTACAGAATTGGAAGTAGAGTTGACAAGGCTCCAGGGGTCAAGCCAAGTGGGAAAATAAAAGCTGTTAATCTAAATCAACAGAATAACAACAGAATAACAGGGCTGCCCTATTGCCCTTGAATAAATCATTTAAATTTCATTTCTCTGTCTGAAGACAATGATGAGAGTGTAAAAAAAAGAAAAGGGGGGAGGGTATCAGTGTTCCAGTTAAATATAGAATATATATGAACTCCTATGATGACCCTGGCGTCATCTATGGCAAAAGAAGTTTTCACTGGTTGATAAATGGGACATTAAGTGTCTAAATAACTTTATCCATAGCATAAGGCAAGCAAGTTATTTCTCCAAAATGTTTAAAACTTAGACCCCTGCAACTCCAACTGAATGCGCACACACACACACACACACACACACACACACACACACACATTTATATTGAAACTTTACTTTTGATTAAAGTTTCAGCTGTCCTTAACTTAATGTGTTTTTAGTATGATTTAAAAATAATGTAGAAGATCTAACTACATTAGCATTGGCACTTATTAAGTTTTAAGTGTCTAAGCTATAACATTGCAGACTATGGAATTTTAGGTATAATATGTGAGTATTACAGATTTGCATTATTTCCATATTGCCATGCTGTACTCGCTCCATTTTCGTACTAAAATCTATAGAACTCATCAAGTCATTTGTCATTTGAGGATAACTCATTGGAATCATTCTAAAATGTGTGTATCTGACATCACTTACTTCCTTTTCCTTCCACATTGGTGTGCCAAATAAATAGTCTTTCTTCTTCCTTTTTTTGTTATTTTGAGATGTAGTCTCCCCATGTTGCCAAGGCCGATCTTAAGCTCTTACACTCCAACCATCCTTCCTCCTCAGCCTTCCTAGCATCAAGAATGACAGTTGTGCCAACATGTTAGTTTTCTTTCAAAAACAAAAATAAACGAAAGTAGTAGTAATGGTAGTAGTAGTAGAAAGAGCAGACACTTTTAAAAATTACTTTATTGTTTTTTTAATAGAAGCTAGGAATCTTAACTGAATTTAAATTGACTCCATTTCTCATTTTTGATTCATTGACCAGAAATTAGTTATTGTAGTAACCCAAAGATACATTTGAAATAACATAAGTATTTTCATATAGAGATAATTTTTCAGAAATTAATTTGCAATTTGTGGGATAGTTTACTTTGCTATTTATAAATTTTGTATGTGATAAATGCCCTCTTACAAATCAGTTAAAGCAAAATCATTTACTTCTTCAGGCGTATTTTAGAGTATTAAAAACATAAGTTATTTCCATTTTATTTATCTAGTTTTACATAAGAATAGGTTGTAATTCCCTCTATCCTCTGTCTAGAATACATGTATTTAGGTAAGGATCCTTAATTTATTTTACCATGACATACTCTTTTAGAGGTATAAAATGTCCTTTCTGATAATACAGATATAACTATTGTATAGCTTCTTAGGACTGCTATAACAAGTTACCACAGGCTGGATGGGTTAAACAAAATAAATTTATTTTCTCATAATTTTGAAGGCTAAAAGTTTGAGAGGAGAAGTTGGTGGGTTTGATTTCATTCTGAAACCATGCCTCTTGACTTGTGGATGGGTACCTTAACCCATTCTTCTCATGGCCTTTCCTGTGGACATTAATTATCCTAGTCTCCTCTTCTTTTAAGGCCACAGTCATATTGCCATAAGCTCTACCCTGATAACCCCATTTTAACTTAAGTACTTAAGTACCTCTAAAAGTCCTACTGACAAATGCATTCTGGGATATATGGGGTTAAGACACACACAGAAAATTAGGGAAAACATAATCCTGATCATAAGAGTTATACTATTTTGTCCTTGAGTTATTTATCTCTCCAATCTTTGTTTTGCTTTAAACATAGTCATAACACTACACCTCCAAATCTTGTCTGTTAATTTCTTTACAAACATATGAAGATTTGGTAATTTTTGTCTCTAGAGTGCTTCAATGCCTGAAGAATAAATCTTGACTTTTTGTCAAGGAATGCATTGTTGACCAACTTTTTAACCCAGAAATCATTAATGTAAAATGAATGATTTGAAAAAAAAATGGATGTTTCCTTTTTGTAGGCTATCCAGCATGTGAAAATATCTTGATTTTAATGAAGATTTATTTGTCTACATCACTTGTCTTAACTTTTAAATTCTGTTTTTCTTACTCAGGAAGATATTTTTTTTCTACTTCTATATGTACAGTGATGTTTTTCTTCTAGCTTTTAAAGTAAATATTTTGAATACAGTAATTGTTTCTGAGAGATTCTTATCTAACGATTTTTATGGATAACTGTAATATTTTGTATTATTATCATCCAATAATTTGGAAATGTACTTCCAAATACATGTATTTTATTCTTTTATATTTACTTATTGTAATTTTGTAGTTGAAATTTTTGAATCTGATTTCATATTTATCATTACATGCATGCTTAGTAAAATGTTTGCTTTATACTTTTGCATAAATGCATGTTGAATGAGCAGTTAACAATTTTTATGTAATTCTGAGGGATTTCTCTTACACCATATTCATAATTTTAATACAATTACAAATGCTCACAACATGTATAATCTTGACATGTGTACTGATTGAATAATAATCAGTAATAATAAATTGAATAGTAATGTCATTTCTATAGTGTGTTGAGAATATGGGATTTTATAATCTTCATATTTCTTTTGTTTTTACTATTAGAAATGGACATTTGTTTAGTGTCACAGATAAAATGAAAGTATTTCTATCTTAATACACATTGAATTATCTTTGATATCAATCATCTACATTTGTTATTTGAAGTGCTTTTTCTTGCTTTCACTCTTTTCCTGTCATCATTGTGTGTGTGTGTGTGTTTGTCTGTGTGTGTTGCAGTTCTCTTAGTCCATGTCATTTGAAGTGTATGCACTATAGTGTGATTAATCTTGCTATATCGTACAGAATAATGGCTTGCTTCTCTTAGCTCAAAACCATCATAATTGTTCAAAAGAATCTTTTTCTCCTAGGTATACAAAAATGCTAATTGGAATCCATAACTTTCTTAATATACTTTAAATCAACCTCTTCACAGAGAGTTGTATGATATTTAGACCTATGAGGTGAACTTGCAGCATGTTTTTTACTTCAAATAATAAGAACAACTCTATTTCTCTTAAGAAATAAACCTATTTAGAGGCATACATAATTGGAAATCCCAACTAAGGGCACCATGTGAAAGACAGATTAACCTGTGCTAATCACCTTAATGTTCTGCAATAATCATCAGGCTGGTTTTGCTCAAAATGATGAAGTGTCAATTCCAGACTTCAAATCCATGTGTAACCATTATTTAGAAAAAAAAAATAGAGTACTTCTATCATTTACATGGTCCTGTTTCTTAAGAACTAAGTTGTTTTTGTTTCTTTTGTTTTTCCTTTTAATCTCAAAGGCTTCCAGTGTATCTCAACACAAGTTTAAACAATTATTGCCACTTGCTCATTTTACAATGATAAAAGGGATATTTGGTAAAAGGGATATTTCTTTTTTCTTGGATCAGAATTATTTTGAACTTAGCAATCATGATAGCTGCAAACTGAACTGGAATATCACATTCAGGTTGCTCCATGAAATTCAGGACACAGAAAACATAAACGGAAAATGAATGTTCTGTGGATATCAGCAATGCTGAGTCAACTTTATGTAGACAATAATAGTACTTAAGCTTTTTTTGCTTGATGAATGAATTTTTCTTTTAAGCATTGTATTCTTGCAACTTAACAACCTTTTTTTTGTTATGTATTTATTCCTAAGAGATATACCACATTTAGTAAATTCAGGTGATAACAAAGAAAGAAAATAGGAAAGAAAAGAAGAATAAATGAAAGAAAGAGCATAAAAAAGATAAAATAACTCAAGAATGAAGAAAATAAGAAAGAAAAGAGGGGCTGGGGATGTGGCTCAAGTGGTAGCACACTCGCCTGGAATGCGTGCGGCCCGGGTTCGATCCTCAGCACCACATACAGACAAAGATGTTGTGTCCACCAAATACTAAAAAATAAATATTAAAATTCTCTATCTCTCTCTTAAAAAGAAAGAAAAGAAGGAAGTTGATTTAAAAGTAAGAAAAATAACATACGCATTTGACATTTATTATTTTTAAAAGTTTATCATATTTGTCATATTTTACTTTATTAATGTTAATGCATAGTTTATGTATCTTTGTAGATAACAAATGCCAATGCTTTAACATCAAAAATCACATGTTGAGTTGTTTAATAAAATACTTAGAAATTCCTATATTAAATAATATCCTATTTTTGTATGATTTTTTGATATCATGGTGATTTTGTTAATCATTAACGGATGTTTAAATCCTACATCCAAGAAAATTGATTTAACCTTCTAACTAGCACACTAGATAATTTTAATATGAAAGCACATGGAACAACTATTAATAAAGATATTAAATCAAAGTTAATGTCAAAAAAAGAATCACAAAGTGATCACCACATATGTTGACAAATTCTCAGATGAGTTTTTAGAGATGTTCACATACTATTATATATACAAATAGTACTCAGTTCTTTCCTAAGAAAATGAAACCTGATACATAAACATATATATATATAAATATATACATATATATATATAAATATAAATATAAATATAAATATATTTTATATACATATTCCTATGCATATACTTTTTTATTTTATTGGTATTGGGATATTGAGCTAAGGTGTTTAACAACTGAGACACATTCCCACCCTTTTTAATATTTTATTTAGACTCATGGTCTTGCTAAGTTGCTCCAGAGCCTCCATAAGTTACTGAGGCTGGCTTGGAACTCATGATCTTACTGCTTCAGTCTCCTGAGCCACTGGGATTACTACAGGCATGCATCACTGTGCCCAGCTCACTTACATGTCTTAAAACTCTATTTCAAATCTTATATTTATATCTATTGGGTGACAATAGCCAAAACTATTGTTTCTAGTGTAACCAAATAAGTTTTGTTTTTGTTTAATTGATATTCTGCAGATTACCTATTAAATTAGTGTTTGTCAAAATTTTATCATAAAAGGAGGGGTAGAATAATACGTGTATTTGTAGTACTAATGTTCAGATTGAGTTTATAACAATCATGTTCTCCATGAATTTGTATGTAATATCCAAAAAAATCAAAATCATAGTGATTTTGTGTAGATTGCTAAATGTATCTACTTCCTTGTTATCATCCATCATCTAACATGAGGCAAATTACCTAGAAAATTATCAATTAAACATCATCATGGGGGGCGGGGACAAAGTACTGGGGAATGATATTGGCCAAATTATATTGTTATATTATATGCTGTGTGAGTGTAGGAATATGCAACAACAAATCCCATCAGTATGTACAACTATAATGTGCCAATAAAAAATTGGAAAAAAAATCATTATGCCAAAATCATGAAAATATATAAATTCTGATATAATCTCAAATGGTGTCTAGTAATTTTTTGCAGGACTGTAAGCTGTAATTTAACCTTAAACTAAACATATTTAATAACTATTAATTGTTAACAACTTAACTAATATCATTTTCTCCTATTTTGTTAAATTAAAAAAAAATAACCTTTAGACACTTACCTGTTACTAAATGTCAAATGGTGGAGGTTTAAGAATCTAATGATAGAAATAAAAAATGATAGAAATAATGACAAAAATAAAAATGTGTAACACAATCAAGCAGAAGTATAGGCAAAGTTTGCTTGAAAGTAGGAGTGTCTCTTGTCTCCATGGCAGTAGTGGGAAATTTGTAGTTTGATTTCCATACCTTTAAGTATTGCCTTGGGCCTCCCATTTTGGAAAAAATGATGAATTCTTCTAAAAGAGGGAAAAAATATGTAAATCTGAGATCTGAATTTTTATTTTTCTATCATGGTAATTTGTAAAGATTCCCATGCAGTTCTAGTATGTAAAATAATACTGCTCTTTTCGTTGCAAACCAACTGTGTCATAGGAAGCAATAGGAAAAACTATTTAACTTTTAATTCAATAATGATAAAATGTACAGTGTGCATTTTTGGCAAAAGTTTCTTTTTATCTAATTCCTTACCATGACTTTAGAAACGTTTCCATATTTCATAAAATATACTACTAATGAGAGTTGGTACATAATTTGAGGCAACCTCAAAACTTCATGTCACAGCCATTAACCTTTCAAGTTTTTTCTAAGAATTTCCTTGTTAGGATTTTGAACATAGCATAAGATATTTTCTAATAAGTAATATAAGGATGCCCTGTTTCAAAGCAGTAATCAGAGTGACAGTTCTCCATCAGAAAGATCTGTAAGCTTCATGGGCAGTTTGAATATCTAGGCCATCAGCTGATTCTGCTTGATTTATAAATAGACAGGCATTCAGTAGTCTGAGCTTCATCAGATGTCGCAGGTTATATTTTTTAAAGTTGACTGATTTGTGTTTATGAACAATTGTACTTTATAAAACATTGTCAAATTAACAGATGGCAAATGTAGTTGGCAAGTAATTCTTTTTGATTCTACTTCTCCCTTCCTCTTCTGAGTACCTCCTTGATATATCTTTTATCATTAGTGCTTAAATCTGGTACTTCCTCTTTGCCAAGTTCGCGTTCAAGTTCATATATTTCCTGTCCTATTACTATTGCTTCAGTGCACTGGCCTTCTGTTTCAGAATCTTTTCCCACCTGCTTTGTTGTGAATGATCTGCCAAATATAGTTTTCTCTGTGTCCATGACTCTTTATCTTTTCCCCCTCCCCACTATACAGTTTGTTACAATTTCAACCCTCATTGTTATACAAAATTACATATAAGAGGAAGTGAGAGGAAAGGGGAAAAATAAAAACAAGAGAGAGAATTGAATTACAGTAGATGGGGTAGAGAGAGAAGATAAGAGGAGAGAGGAGGGTAGGGGAGGGGAGGGGGATAGTGGAGGATAGGAAAGGCAGCAGAACACAACAGACACCAGTATGGCAGTATGTAAAAAAGTGGATGTGTAACCAATGTGAATCTGCAATATGTACACGGGGTAAAAATGGGAGTTCATAATCTGCTTGAATCAAATGTATGAAATATGATATGCAAAGAGCTTTGTAATGTTTTGAACAACTAATAATAAAAAATTTAAAAAGTCTAAGAATCAAGAGAAAAATATTTAAAAAAATAAAATAAAGACAATAGTATTATAGCTCTCCTTATCTGTGTTCCGAGGTTGTACCAATGTCTACAACAAGGTATTTAAATAAAACCTTTATGTATCTTCAGCTAATTAAACTGTTTTATTCTCTTTCCTCTACTGTCTGTTACCTGTGGGTTTTTTTTTTGTTGTTTTATTATATATGATTCTTTTAGATTTATATATTGTTAGTTTTTAACTCAGATTTTCCCTTTCTTCCCTGTGGATTGAGATAGAAATCTATCTCCACTAAGAGATCATTTTTGTCTCACTTTCCCTCATGATGAATCTTCTCTGGGTACCTATGAGAATTTTTCAAGTCTATCAAGGAAAATATTCTAAGGAGGTCAACATTTCATTTGGGTTTGGTTTAATAAACTCACTCAAGGTTGAGCTCACTTCAATGAATAATGTTTCTAGTTACAACCAAGTAGAAAGTCTTTAGGAATTTGACTTCAATTTGTAAAAACAGAAATCATGTAAAAATATTGTACATATTGGACCTGAATTATGTGAGTAGTCACAGGCAAAACAATAAGTTAGAAGTATATGACCAGAAGAATATGATCAGAAGATAACCTGTGGGGAATTTATAATCATTGTATGTGTATCTAAATTGGTAATTAGTAAAGATCCCCATGTAGTTCTAGGATCTAAAATACTATTGCGCTTTTCATGGCAAATCCACTGTGTCATAGGAAAAACTCATTAATTTCCAATTCAATAATGATAAAATGTACAGTGTGCATTATTTTTCAACCAATTTTAAATGTCCAGTTCAGTAACATTTACACTATTCTGTGGTACATCATCCATCCATGCAACTTTTCTCATCTTGTAAAGCTGAAACTCTCCCATTAAAGAATAACTCTGATTAACTTTTCACCTCGCCTCTAAAAAACACCAGTCTACTGTCTGTCTCCATGAATTTGACTTCTTTGAGAACCTCTTAGGAGTGGAATCTCACAGACCTGTCCTTTTGTAAGGGACTTATTTCACTTGCCATAATGCTCCAAGAATCATCCATGTTGCTGTTGTGTGTCAGAATTTCCTTTCTTGGTGCTGAATGGTATTATTTGCATATGTGTTGGTGAGTATGCATACAGCACATTTTGCTTGTCCATTTGTCAATGAACACTTGGGTTGCTTCCACCTTTTGACTGTTGTGAATAATTGCTGTTATGAATGTGAGTGTACATGTATGTCTGAACCGCTGTTGTCAGTTGTTTTGGATATATACACACATATACACACGTGGAATTGCTGAATCATGTTGCAATTCAGCTTTCTGCTATTTGTGAAACTGCTATAGAAGCAATTTTATAGAAAAACATTTTTTTTTGCTTTTTCTTGAGGGAAAACAAAACAGAACCATGTAAGAATTAAGTTATCTTTCTCTAATCAGAGATTTAGAGCGTCATGAGGGTTATGAGTTTTTCATTTAGTCATTAGTTCCTTTTCTAAAACATTTAATTCTGTTAATTGTTTGACTCTAAGAGACACATGCTTTTAGGACCCCTGACCTAGAGGCTAAGAAGAGCTCTATAAAAGCGAGTGACAGCTGGGTGCGATGGTGCACTCCTGTAATCCCAGTGGCTTTGGAAGTTGAGACAGAAGGATCACTAGTTCAAAGTTAGCCTCAGCAAAAATCAAGGTGCTGAGCAACTCAGTGAGACCCTATCTCTAAATAAAATAAACAATAGGGTTGGGGATGTGGCTTAGTAGTCAAGTGATCCTGGTTTAATCCCCAGTAACAAAGTGAGTGACAGGAGAAGGAAAGGTACTGGGGTATGGATTACAACAAGACATATTCCATACTTGTATAATTATCAGAATGGATCCTAATGTCATGTATAACTATAAAGAACCAATAAGAGAGAGAGAGAGAGAGAGAGAGAGAGAGGGAGAGAGACCATCAAAATGCCCATGAGAAGGTGAAACTGACTTAACTATTTGAGAATGATATGAGAATGAAAATTAACCTGTTCAGTTATTGCCATGGTTTATATATTAGATGTGAGACAATGCAAGAAGGTTTAGAAGGGAAATGATTGCGTTATGAGAGCCTAAAACCAATCAGTGAATTAATCCCCTGATGGGATTAGCTGAGTGGTAACTGAAAAAGGGTAGGGTGAGGCTGAAGGAGGTAGATCACTGTGGTTGTGCCTTTGGGGTACACATTTTGTATCTAGTGAGTGGAGTTTCTCTCTCTGCTTCCTGATCATCATGAGCTGCTTCCCTCCATAACATCCTTCTCATCCTTCTTCCATGATGCTCTTCCTCACCTCAATCCCCAAGGAATGGATCTTGCTCTCTACAGATGGAGACCTCTGAAACCATGAGCCCTCAAATAAGCCTTTCTCCTCTAAAGTTGTTCTTGTCGAGTCTTTTAGTCACAGCAGCAAAAAGGTGACTAAAACATTTAATGAATTCTAGTCACCTGAAACACAACTCAAGTTTCACATTCCATATTAACTGTAAGTTATTACCTAAACACTTTCCCACTAGCTCTAGAATGCACAAATCAATATGTAAGTGCTGGGAAAAGCAGTTTCATGTATACGTATTTCTTAAAACCCACTTGACCACATAAAAATGGGCCCTGGGTCTGTACCACTTCCTAATTGAGATTCCATGCAACCTGTGATGGGTTTATAACATTTGTGAGAATGTATTTCCTAGTTTCAGGCATGATTTATGTCCTTGGTTCTGCTTAAGTATGTGTATCTTTTGTTACTTGGCCAAACCTGCAGCTCTATATGTAAGTCCCTTTCAGAGAAGCCATGGGATCCTTCTTCTGCAGTACAAGAGGGGTGCATCCAGACCAGTAATCCTGTTTTGTTGTCAAAGGTGACTCACTGACCATGGGGAACCAACAAGATCAGAATGTCTTTTCTCTATGTGAATAGTCTTGTTCCATCCAGTATAGGACTATGCCGTGTGTTTCCCTGACAACTTCATAAGAATATTCAGTGAGTTAAAGTGTTCTAACTTCTCCTAATAATAGGAATAGATACCACTTGCTTGATAATAACTACCAGAAGTACAGCATGATCATGACTAGTTATACTAATTATTTCAAGTATCATCATCAAGCAGTGACTGCACATTCGTTAGGTCAGATTCAGACAGCAAAGCATGTAGTTGTGTTACCTCTTTGTGGTTCTTCAGTGGTAAACCACGTTCTTTTAAAAAAAAAACTTGAAAATCAGGAGAGAAGTGACCAGAAAGGTAAAAATACAATAAAGAAACAGAAAGTTACAGTGAAAGAAGTAAAATTTGAATATAATACAACTGGGCTTGTAGATTTGAGACTCTAAGAAGCTTAGTAGAGGCAAGTTCATCTACATAAATGAGGAAATGTGTTGTGAAACTAAGGATCAAAATGTTCCAGAAGAAATAACACTGGCTGAAGAAGGGGAAGGAGGAGGAGGATTATGAGGAACTCTCATTAAATAAATTTGTGGAAAGTTTTTATGACATGGAAAGTGTAGATGATAAAGGATTGAGAATCAATCTAAACTTATAAAAGACAATTTGTATCATGAGTTAAGTAAAAACAAGAAGATAGGTACTATCTATTATTCTTAGTGAATATTTTTTTTAAAAAATAATACACTTTATTTCCCAATGTTTCTATTATTTTGAGTTAAATTTACGTAATATTATTT